AGTGGGGGCATAACTTGGATGGGTGTGTTCTGTTTGGCTCTCTCATTGTCTCTGCTTTCTGAAGATGTGAGGTAAGCAGCTTTTCTCTGTCATGCCCTTCTACCATGGTGTTTCTGCCTTAGAGCCCAGTTGACCATGGACTAAAACCTCTAAAACTGTGAGCCAGAGTAAACCTATTTTCTTTTAAATTATACATGTCCAGTGTATTGTCTCAGCATTAGAAACATAACAGCCATTAAGAGGAAGATCTAGGATTCTATCCCAACTCAGTCTGGTTTCCAATACCAAATTCTCTGGAGTGGCAGAGCTGGATTTAATACTAGTATATCTGTTTTCAAAACTTGCGCTACTCTTGTTGATGCCACAAAATTTCTCCAGTAGAAGAGCCACCACACACATGCACACATAATCACAATTTGGTTCTAATGGAGCCAAATACAAAACTGTGGATTAATGGACAGTACAAAGATAATAGGTTTCAGGTTGATAAAAGATACTTTTATGATCCTTCAAGTCCCAAACTTGACCCTGGAACTCATAAGATAGCACAGATTGCAACTCAAAGTGCTGTAGCTGCTTTTGGGGAACATGCATATTTTCACTGTTAAACAAATTTCTTATGGAAACTCCCCACAGCCACTACCTGTAGACATTTGGCAATAAATTATAGGGTCTGCTTAAGAAAATGGAAAAAGAAAGAAAAACAGTGCACCCTGTTTGGCTTTTATTATCTATCCACTCCCCCTATAATGAAGACAGGGATACTGTGCTTGTCAGTCAGCACTGACTGACTGAATCCAAATTAATTTATTCATTTACTCAAAATATATTCCTTAATACCACCTGTACAACAAGCTCAACTTTGGTACCAGGACACAAGAGTCACTGGACATATAGGTTCTTATGGCCAGAGGCAAAAATCAGAAAAGCAAGCTACACTGCAAGAGGAGACTGTGTCGGGGTTGGGGAGAGGCCAGGGTGGAGGACTTACTTTAGAAAGGAGTTGTAAACTACAGCCTCTAAGAAGAGGAGCATCTGACTTAATCTTGGGCATTGACTCAGTGAGGTGAGTTCATTTCTGCTTTCCCATCTCAGAAAGGGCAGGTTCCTGTATGAAAGCATGGGAACTCAGTTCTTGCCCCTGAATGGGCAGTGAGAGCAGCTGTGATTCCCCAGCCATCCAACTTTTTGCTCTCTGAGTAATATAAAAGGTTAGGGGGAAGAAAAGGCTCCAGTGCACAGTAACCCAGTGCCCCGTCTGGGCTTTGTGCCGCCCACAGGTGGAGGCAGTCGCAACACTAGTGCCTTTCTCCTGTCATCTGCTGGCACAGGAGCAGAATTTATACTTCCTAGATGAAACCAGCCTTTTGAATCAATCCCATTGCATGATCCTTAGGCTACTCTCATATAGGAAAGTGTCTGACCCGGAAACCCTCAGAGTTGGCCAGCCTGTATCTGTTCTCCGGTGAGTACACATTCCCACTTTCCACAGCCACAGAAAGACCACCTTCAATGTGTGTTCCCTCTTTTTCCTTGAATGGCATAGCATTTTTAGCCAGAAACAGAAAAATGCTGCTTATTTTGTTGTGAAGATTCAAATCTATTGAATAAATATTTACTTTAGTCTGGAACTTTAGGGCACTGTGTGGGTCCTGTTCCTGCTCTGTGATTCTGGGCAGATAAATACTTGGCATGTTGGCTTGCTTGTTATATGTATGTACATGTGGCACCCAGAGACGAATGTTGTACTGGCTAGCTCAGGTCACTAAGATTAAATAAGATCATCTACTAAACAAAAATATGCTCCACTGTCTAAACTCTAATAAGTAAATGTTAGCTGCTAGTATAATGATGATGAAGATAAGGCTGATGAAATTACATTCATTTATATAAAAAAATTTAATGAATACCAAGTATAAATTGGGCACTTTTCTAGGTACTTGGAGCACATTATCTGTTGACTTTGTAGAGCTTGCGTTACATTAAGCCATTCCATAAGAGTCAGCCTAGAATTCTATGGAGAAGTTATTATATAAATGGTGCCAATTTCCTATTATCCTATTATGATCTAACTAACCCTGTTTTTCTAATGTAACAAAACACAGAAATGCAGACACGTTCCTGTTTCACCAGGAGAGTATGCTTATGAAATGGAACCTTTCAATAGGGATTGTCTCAGAAGTTGGACACATGGTGTCCATACTGGTGAAACTATTAAAGGAAATTATTTAAAATGTATCCTGTATATCACCCTCAGAGATCAATGTCTTCCCTCAGCAAAGCTGGCTCTAAAATGTGCCTTTGGCTACCCCGAAATGCTGTGTGTGGCATGGAAAGAAACTCTGAGATATTGAGCAGGAATATAAAGGTTCAATTCTAGCCACATTGCTGCAGTTTGCTGGTAAATTTTCCCAGGCTTCAAAAGGGTATTTTGTAGACTCCGATGATGTAAGTGGGTGTTCCCACTTCAGCTGTGGCCAGCAGATGCTGTGTGACTACTCTCTGGCCACATGTGCTGATAAAAGCAAGGAAAATGTGAATAATGGAAAAGAATGGCAGACAGTTCTCTTGCTGGTGGTAGTGATTTCGAACACAAGCTAAACACACACTTAAGCTGCTCCCTGGCTTAGTGCTTTAGTCGCCTTGAAATTTTTCACTCTTGTGAGAATGACTCATGTCTTGGAAATGACAAGTTCCAAGTCTGGTGCTTCCAGCACCTTTGGGCACTGGTTAATTTGCCCTTTGGGATTGTTTAGCATCCCACCAACTGTGTTAATGAGCAAGGGATGATGCTTTCCTTCCCTTTCCTGAAAACTCAGCATTTCACCACCTTCCAGTGGTCTCAGCTCTCTTTTGTGTTGGATTACTTTTATCAAGCTCCCTTCTTGAGTGTGTGGTGGCTTATGTAGCTGCTGAAAGTGGAACAAAAACTGGTGTTTTGTGTATTTTTTACACTCTTTAACTGCCACCTTAAACTGCATTGTGTTTGTTTTGTTAAAACTCTTTCTCAAACTTTATCTCATTTTTCTCCTCAGCACAACCCTGTAAAGAATGTTTGACAGTATTATTACCTGTATTTTACAGAACAAATTGATGTCAGCAAGCTTGAAGCCTGGTCTCCAGACTGCTCTGTATTATCTAGTGTGTTTCAGAAAAGTGAATTAAGTGCACAATGGGTAACCAAAGAAGCAACAAAAACCAAGAACTGATTTCGTACTAACTCAGGAGTTCCAGGCTGGTGGGAGGCTCCTTTCCATATGGCAGTTCAAGGACCAAGCTCAGTCTTGAGGTCTTGTGGGGTCCTAGCATCTTTTGATTATGTATATAAAACCCATGGAAGAGAAAGAGAGATAGGAGGAGGTGCTGCCCCTCTTTTAAAGGACACTCCTGGAAGTGGTGCTCTTGAACTTCCAGAGGCTAGAGTAGACTAATGGTGCATACATAGTCTGTGCTCAGGATGAACGATAATGCAGTTTGTAAGCAGCTTTGCTGAAGTTTCCTAGGAATGTAATGCAGAAACATAAAGCACAGCCAGTCAGCACTCTCAGTGTATGATCATCGAATGTGAATGCAAGAGTGATGCCCTGTGCCCCTTAACACTGTGATGGCCATGCAACCATTAACAGCCCAGACAGTATAGATGCCATGTAGACATTCAATTCTGACTTTGATGAGGATCAGGGAGATATACACAGTATGTCAAGCAAGAGGTTTTCTAGAGATAATTGCTTAGCATAAAACTTAAATTTTCATTTATAGTAAATATATTCAGCCTTGAAAAATTAGCTGGGTCAAAGAAAAATGATTAAGCACTAATCATATATAAATGTGATGAGCATCCAAAGTTGATGTGAAGGACAGAAAATGGAACACATTTATACCCATTATCTCACTCATGATGGTTTATTCTTAGGAGAGGAGGGCATAAAACATCATGGGGAGAAGAAAACTAAAAGATTTACACCAAGGATCCTTTCAGTACTCAGCACTGAAAATGCTTTGAGAAACACAAAAAAAATGCTCTCCTGTCTGTGAGTTGCTTAAAACCCTATTTAGGAGATACACAACATATAGGGATGTGTTAAAAATTGACTATTACTAAGAATTGAAACAGGTTTCAAGTCTAACATTCAGCAGCTTTTGATAAGCTAGAAACTCACCTGTTGAAATTAAGCACTAATGTATTTGTTATTTATGTAAACATTTATTATATACTTACTGTATTCCAGTAAGGTTCCTAAGCCCCAGAATCTAACCATCTAATGTTGGTGATGGTAAACACAGACAGCTGAACAAAAGTGAACAGTTCAGGGTCATAGGGGCTGTGAGAGATAATTATGCAGAATATCTCAGGATGGAGAATTTTTAATGTCAGAGGGGAATTTGGAAATAATCACATATCAATTCCTTCATTTAATAGATTTTATAAAAAGTCCTGAAGAGGTAAGGTGACCAACTGAGGTCACACAGCTGGCTAGAAGCCAGATATCCTGATCTCCAATTTCAGCTAGCTGTGTGGACAGGATGTCAGAATGAAATGAGATTACACATGAGAAATTCAGCAAAATCTTTGTGTTCTTCATTTATTACTATCGGGCCCTGAGGGGAAGAATGGTACAGAAAGAAAGACTGCTTCATGCTTTAAGAAAAGTCATGTCCATACCTACCTATGATCATGTACACAGAATGCTGCCTCAGTCAAAAGATCTAACTCATATTAGCAAAAACACATCCAAGCATTTGCTTAAATAGACTGTGTTTTTCAGTAGCACTGTCACCTCATTTGATTCTTGCAGTAGCTCTCTGAATCATGGCAGAAGGGTGTCCATAGCCAGCTCTGGCAGAACTGCAAAGTAAGGTGTGGAAAGCACATAGCAAGTTGAGTGAGAAACTCATGTAGTCCTGAATCCTTGTGTGGTGCTTCTCCCATGACACCGTGTGCATCATCAGCCTGGCCAGGAATGGTTAGTTAACTTGGGTATCCTCTAATTATATTGCAGATGCATTGTGAGAGGTTTCTATGTATCCTGAGAATAATTGGAACCACACTTTTTGGAGTCTCTCTTCTCCTTGGAATCACAGCTGCTTATATTGTTGGCTACCAGTTTATCCAAACGGATAATTACTATTTCTCTTTTGGATTGTACGGTGCCTTTTTAGCATCACATCTCATCATCCAAAGCCTATTTGCCTTTTTGGAACACCGGAAAATGAAAAAATCTCTAGAAACCCCCATTAAATTGAACAAAACTGTTGCTCTTTGCATCGCTGCATATCAAGAAGACCCAGACTACTTACGAAAATGTTTGCAATCTGTGAAAAGGCTCACCTACCCTGGGATTAAGGTTGTCATGGTCATAGATGGGAACTCCGATGATGACCTTTACATGATGGACATCTTCAGCGAAGTCATGGGCAGGGACAAGTCAGCCACTTACATCTGGAGAAACAACTTCCACGAGAAGGGTCCTGGTGAGACGGACGCATCACATAAAGAGAGCTCACAGCACGTGACACAGTTGGTCTTGGCCAATAAAAGTGTGTGCATCATGCAAAAGTGGGGTGGAAAACGAGAAGTCATGTACACAGCCTTCAGAGCCCTGGGACGCAGTGTGGATTATGTGCAGGTAGGTCTCCAAATTCCTCCCAGGGCAAACATAGTGGAATAAAGCAGCCTTTGTGTCTCTCCAGTTATATGCTGTAGTCCATCCTTGTCCCTTCTGAGCACAGGGCTCCTTTCAGCCCATTGGAAAACAGCACGACTGTTGAAAGCACTATTTGAAAGGGAGGAAAAAAAACTTGTAAAACTGTTAAAACTATCTATGAAAATGCTCAACCTGTGCCATGGTGTTGGTTAGAAATCAAGATTATTTTAATAAGAGACCCTTCCTTCCCTTCCCTCCCCTCCCTCTTCCCTTCTCTGTCCCCTTGGCTCTGCCAAGTCAAATCCAACATCATTTTCCACACTTAAAAAAAAAATCTCTGGCTCTGTAAGAAAATAGTGTCTGTCTGAGCAGAAGGATCTTGAGAAAATCTGCAGCCTGAAGGGAAAGCTAGAAAGGGTTTTGCACATACATTGGGCAAAGTGGGAGGAGTGACAGTGATTTTGCTTTATGAGTAAGGAATTCAAAATGGAAAGTGGGAGGGGAATATAAAAAGAAAATCTTAGAGCAAAATCAAAATAATGTTTATTTCACTCCCCAAACAGCATTACCTCACTCACTCCAGTTTGACCTTTGAAAGCATTTGTGATGATATTTGCTTGTATGAAATCAGGTTGGCTGTGTCTCTCATTAACTCTCGGACAGCACTCTGTGTTTTTCAGTGCAGTTCTCACTAAGGCTTTCTTTAGAATATTTAGTAGGGTTCTTATACATTTTAAAATTTTAATTTGTAGTTTGATTTTGAGCGTGATGATATCAAAAAGGGTGAAATGTGTCTAGTTTAAGCTGGAACCATTTTCCGATCCTCTTAAAAATAAAATCCTTATTTTCAAAAGACCTATCCTGTAGGGGCTTTGTTGCCACAAATTCGTGGCTGTCAATTTTTAGAATAGTGAGATGGGAGTGATCATTGGCTATGAGGTCAGCTGGCCAAGGCCCTGATCACAAATATTCACAGTTATTGATTAAATCCAACTCTCTGAGCCTCAGATGGTGGGAGAGAATAAGCCAGTCTCACAGTGGTTTCAGATAATTACGTCTAATGTCAGGTGCTTAGGGAGAATTGTTTATGATAGTATTGTCATATATTTAAAGGTGTTCGTACTATTTTATACATTCACCTAGCCCATACTAAAAAATTATAGTATCTGCTAATTGTCAAAAGAGGGTTAGTAAAATTAACACCTGGAGAGACTGGAGACTTTTCTTCATCGATACTCATCTGCATATTAATCTCACTTCTAGGGAATTGACAGAATTTCTCAAGTTTCTCCTAATTTCTTGATGGTGGAACTTCGTGAATAAGGTAGTTTCAGTAGTGTTTACATGACGCAACTTTGCGCCTAAATGAGAAGACCTAATCTAGACATGAGCATGAGAGAGGATCTTAGAGGATGTAAAGAATGAAGCTTTGTGCCTAACGTAAGAAAACATCTGCTTTGATATTTTGCTTGTACTTCTAGTTAAAACAACTGCTGCATTTGTAAGTTCTAATCAAGACACAATTATATGGGTTCTTTCTTTCACTTAGTCTGCTCCTTCAAACCCCTTCTCCCATCATACTTTTGAGTTTTGTTTTGAATTTTGTTTGTTTCCTTGACAACTTTACTCTGTGCCTGTCCAGGAAAGAATAATGCAGAATATGAGAGGGTAGAGTAAGCTTCCTGTTTGTGCCCTGGGTCTAAGAATGGTCCTCCCACTGCAGCTCCACATAGAATGAGTCTAGCAGTTGGTCTCAACTGGGCTGTGGTGCATCTTGGAGCTACCAGCTGGGTGCAAGCATGCAGATAAGATTACAAATGTTTTGCATTCTGAAACTGGTAATTTTATCCTGCCACCCATCAACCAATCCCCCGATATTTAACTACTTGACCTATAAAAATGGGAATTTCATAAGGTTCAAACCAAACACAGAACCCTCATCTTCTATTCTGACTGGCCCTGGCTTTGGTGTGAATAAACTGTAATAGTACATAAAATCCTAATGAGGTAACTGACATTGTGAAATGGGAAGCCAGGGGCTAAAGGTGCAGGGAAGGGAGGATGCGAAGGGGAAGGGTAATAAGGGAAAAGAAAAAAATGTGAGAAAATGAAAAGATGGAAATAAAGTGTTTGTAAATGGGGAGGGGAGGAGGGGTGAAGGGAGGGCAGGGACAAGGGGAGAAAATGAGAACGAAGACCTGTCATGTAGAGGTACAAGATCCCAACAATGAATGTAACTGTACTGTATCCCTAAAATGTACCAATAAATTCAATTATTTAATAAAAAAAAGAAAATGATTAAAGCTAAAAAAAAAAAAAGAAATTACAAAGCAGAATCCACAGAAAGACAAGAGGGGAAAAAAGGTGTGAAGGGGTCAGCAGTGACAGCACTGCGTGTAGGCTGATTTGAGACAGGGAAGCAAAGTTCAGGTGGTGCTTCAGGAGAGAGTACTTACTGGAAAGTGCTGCTTGACTGTGGAGAGAGATGGCCAAAGGGGCCGATTTCCAACCACATCTGGTCATCGACACTTTTTGTTCACTGGGTTTGCATGTCTTGCTTGTTGCTCTCATGAACTGCTATTTCATACCTTCACCATACTCCCAGAACCCTGTCCAAACTCCACTCTGCTTAACTACTAACAGATGACCTGTGTCCTGCTATGGAACAAGTCAAAAGCACTATCCAAATACTTTCAAGACCATCTTTCTTCTCTTCTGCTTACACTGCCTCAGTGGTACCCAGCCCACTCATTATCTTTCTGCCTACACTCCTGTGGCCTCTGGTGTGCTAGGCTTCGCAGGAACAGGGCTTTACTATTGGCTGCCATTCCCTTGGTCTGTCTCAACTTCATCTGCCATTTTCTCTCCTGGCTACTCTTCCAGTTTCATGGGCTTTTGACTCAGTAACACCGGCACAGAGCGCTGGGGAAGTTCTGCTCTAGGAGACACCCAGCACGGCTCCAGGTTCACCTGAGGGTGCCCGTAGCAATGATCAGAGATGGGAAGTAGGAAAACAGAGGAAAATGAAGTGAGAAGTAAAGATGAAGGGAATGTAAACATGAAAAAGTATGAGGATGCTTTTTAAAAATTAGTTTTGTTTTCTAGAGGCCCTTGAAAACTTCTTCAATAAAGGACCAATTCTGATTGGATTAGATATTGTTTACAGTAGAGCAAAAGTCTTGCTTGCCTTGGCAGAGAACTGCTTCCATTTATTTACTAAAGCAGCACATTTAACAGGTTTTTAAAAGAATTTAAAAACAGCAAAATTAAAATTATTTGCAACAATTATAAAACCAATGGATCAATGCCTTCTGGTGTATTTCGTTTTGCTTTTTCTTCATTTTAAAAACAGTTTTGGATTAATTTAACTTTTTTGTATTATTTTGACATAACATTATCAGAAGACAAAGTATACTTTGATATCTAGATGATTTTCTTGCTTTATTTGCACTCTTGTCATTGATCATGCATACTACAATTTAAGTGGTTACCAATTGATCAGACAGGGAGGAAATAAATAGTACCCCTAATGTGTACAAGATAAATTACCCAATATTAAACTGAATACTTTCCAAGTACGTAACACATACGAATATTCCTAAATGGAAGATTATAAGAGATGATTTTATCACTAATTTTATCGGGTAGAATCCAAGATAACCAAAATGCTTTAAGTGGAAAAAATAAAGCTACATCATTCATTATAGTACATTATCATCATTGACTATCATTATTCATGTATTCTGCATTTGAAGATTTATTTGCAGATTGAAATTGCCTTCTAACCTCAAAAGCCACATGCGCAGCGCTTCGCGGGTCATTTACATACGTGAACCCTGTGGCAGACCGTGGGGGCCACCTCAGGCACGAGGTCCACTGATGTCGGACAGAGGGCACTTTGCCTCCGCATTTCCACTTTCGTATTGTAAACAGTTTGCCTATTTATAGTTTCCGTAATGCCATATTTCTCCTGTTTTTGTGCTTCCACCGGTGCTGCAGCTGTTCCTCGTGTCCCATGTTAGTGCTGCAGTCACGTCTGGATCCCCACGCAGGCCTCCACTCAGTGTCATTTTACATCCTTTAACCTCCGGATTCCTTCTAGCAGCCCACTGAAGTTCTGCCAGAGTGAGAGCAAAACTAAACAAAAAGTCTCATCAGAATTTACTTTCATCAGTTACTGTCATGTTTTTACCTTCTCCCCAAAGTTGGGGATGCTTATAGAGACACCCTGATTTGAAAACCATCATGGCGGGTTTTCCTTAGAAGAACTCCAAACATTCCGATTAAGTGTTTCACTGCCAACAGCAGAGGTGACAACATTTTGTTGCCAAAATTTGCAGCTGGCTTGTCCCCTTTGCTTTGTACCTCCTGTTAATTTGCATGTCCAGCTTTCCTAACAAGGAAAAGAGAAATCAGTGAGTGCTGTTTTCATTTGAATGCATGGGAGAGATCATAGGCTGACCGAAGCCCATTTTGTGACAATTTAGAAAATTCATTCTAACAAGGAATGCTTATGTCTTCCTGCTTCCTTTTAAGAAAAATAACAGAAATGCCCAACTTCTTAGGTGGCTACAATATAGAGATTTTTCCTTGGCTAGACATGAGACCTCATCATTAACTTAATTACTTTAAGGAAAAAAAAATCCTTCCAGGCCTTTTGCTCTTTCCCAAAGAAAGGTGCTTGTTATTCATATTATTATTATTTTAGTGCATTTTTTTCTTCTGGAGTGTTTTTACTTATTAATTTCAATGGATCTTTGTAGCTTTGAAGTTTTTTAGATTTTATGATTTTGTATTTACTACTTAATCTGAGACTTATAAACTTAACTGTGTACTTACATCTATATTTCATTTATCTAGAATCCAAATAAATAGAAAATCAACACTTACAAAAATAGAGCCTCATGAGACATTTATAAGGCCCTAGAAGTCTGTGGTTGTATAAGTAATGACAATAAATGGCCATTAATGATCCAGTTTTT